GGACAGCTCCATCAGAATGAATGTAAGTCCCCATGTCTTAACCTGCACAAGCTCAACTCCAAATGGATCAAGAACTTCAGCTCAAGACTTGATGTCCTGAATCTGAAAGGGGAAAAAGCAGGGATTACACCAGATTTTACCGGACTAGGTAAAGATTTTATGAATAGGACCCTGGGAACACAGGCACTAAGATCAACTATTGATAAATGCGACCTCATGGGACAAAAAAAGTTTACATATAGTGACAAAACAAACACCATCAAACAAATGAAGCCGCATAGGGAAAAAAAATTCTTTACCCAGTAAAATCTGACAGAGGGTTAGTATTGAGAATAAGCTAAAAACTCAAAAAGTAGACATCAACAAAACAACCCAATTAAAAACTGGGGCAAGATGGGGCTGGAGAGATGGCTCAGCGGTTAAGAACACTGGTTGTTCTTGCAGAAGACCAGGGTTTGAATCCCAGCACCCACATGGCAACTAACTGTCCTTAACTCCAGTCCCAGGGGATCCGACAGCCTCTTCTGACCTCCTTGGGCATTGTACGACACCTGTACATGCAGGCAATACATAATTCTCAAAAGATGAAACACCGATGGATGAGAAATACTTTTTAAAATGTTTAACATTTTTAGCCGTCAGGGAAATGCAGCTTAAAATTACATTGAGATTTCATCTTATCCAAGTCAGAATGGGTAAGTATCTAAAAAAGAAATGATGGCAAATGCTGGCGAGTCTGTGGTGAAAGCAGAACCCTCACTCCTAGCAGGAGTGCAAACCGAAGCAGTCACTATAGCAATCGATCTAAAGATTCTCAAAAAACTACAAATTAACCTACCACATGATCCAACCTACCACTCTTGGGTCTATACCCAAAGTTCTCTATATCCTATGACAGATACACCTGCTTGACCATGTTCCGTGCTGCTCTATTCACAATAGCCAAGAAATGGAAACAACCTAGATATCTGTCAATTGATGAACGGATCATGAAAATATGGAAAACTTATGCAATAGAATTTTTTCAGCTGTTAAGAAACATGAAATTATGAATGGTCATAGGAGTAGATGGAACTGGAAGTAATCATCCTCAGTACAGCAACTGTAGCTCCTTCTTGTTCATATGTGAATGCAAGCCTTGAATCTTTAGATAGGTGAGATTCAATGAGAAAACCACATAGAGTTCAGAAAACTAGGAAGGGCCATGGGAAGGGCGAGGCAATATACTGAAATAAAGGGGAAAAGGGGAAAATGGAAAAGGAAGGGTTAAATAAGGTGTGGCGTGGGAGGGCAGTGTAGAGGAAAGGGTGTAGAGGGGGATACTGAAAAATAAAGGCAGTTTGAAGAAGTCATATGAAAACCTACTACTGTAGAAGCTTCCTTCCTAAAAATGCACATGAACATTTAAAAAGGATTTTAAAACAAGTTACCCCACAATGTGGGGGGAGACAATTTCCCTATCAGACATCATAGCCTGGCAGATAACAACTACATTATGAGAAATCAGCTCCCTATTTTACTTGTTGATGGGGGAGGGTTGACTCACAGACCATTAAATGATTCTGGCCTTTGCATTTGCTCTTGGTTATCATCTAGGACCTGATGTAAGAACTTGATTCCGATGACACTACCTACATGAAGCACAGAACATGGAAAAATCGAACTGGTACCAGCTTTCAACTTCATTTCAACTGGCTAGCATTCATGAACAACTTTCTCTTCCAGTAGCGTTGGTACTTTCCATACTGATCAGAGGTTCTACCCATGCTATTGGGAGAGGAAATTATTCATCAGTCGATAGGACAGATGTGAGCCCTGAGGGCTTTAACAATGACTGTTACTGCAAGATATACCCATTGGTGCACTACAGGCAGAAATGTTATAGAAGTATCCAACAGCTTTCAGGTCAGATTTAAGACCTTCTTCACAAGATGGAACCCATAATGTCACTGTTATCAGGGCCAAGAACCTGTGACCAGGCAGGTCACAGACCATGGAGGAAAAGCCTACTACTGTGATTCTGTTAAAGGGACATAGTATGAAACCGACTCCTTATCATTACACCCATAGATCAATTCATCTCTCACCGACCATCAGAGATGCTTCTTTGTGCAGCAGACAGCAAGTAACCCATTGACCGGAAAGTGGTCAACGTGTAGAGAATGAGAGAGTGCAAAGCACTAGGCCTAAATGTGGCATCTATATGACACCTCTTACTCAAAGGTTCAGGGAGCATTTTGAAAGAGGTGGCAGAAAGTTTGTGCGAGCCAGAAGTGGTAGATGAGACACAACAGTTCATGCAGTTACATGCATGAACAAACAGTGGTTGTGAGGGCATGCACAAGAAGACCTGAGCAAGCCGAAACCAGACAAAACCATTGCACGGAAGGAAGAGGTGGGTACAAAGATTCAGTTGTACATAGGCTGTCTAAACTCCAGTGGATGACCTTGCACCGAGGGACATGTGGCTATACAAACTTGACTTCATAGGCCTTAACATATATGACAGAATGCATAAAATCTGATGGGGGTGGTTTACGAAGGGGGCAGATGAGGAAGGGGGTATACGAATGATTAAGATGATGCTCTGTATGCAATGCACGAATATTCGAATACAATATATGTTAAAAACAGAGAATGGTGAGTAGTGGTGGTTGTGTCAATAGAGAAGTGGAGAGGGTCTGAGAGGTGATGGGGGATGATTCTGCATATAATCAGTATACTCTGAAATTCTCAAAGTATAAATAAAATATGATTGCAATTTACACTTCATTTTTTTATGTCCCTTTTGATCCAAAATTTTCTACTCTTTAATTTATTTACAGTAGCACAATGCACAGCATGTACCTGTAAAAGAACTTACTTGTACGGGCCCCTACAAGCTCCCTCTGTGGAGGTTTTACCAGTTTCTCTGGTTTGATTTCACTGAAATATGAAGAAAATATAATTACTTTATAGACATGGAGGAATCATTTACCAAATGCTCTGAATTATTGGTTTTATGACTTCCTATTGTAACTAACATTAGAAATTTACAAAGGAGTTTAATTTGTTCATGAATAGTTAAATATGATTGCTGAATGCTTTTTCTACACCTTTTTTTGTATGTGTAAAAGAAACAAGATACTCCTTGATTAATCCAACAGCAGACCACGCAGACTACACAGACACACAAACACACAGAAACACACAGACACACACACAGTTTCATGTAGGCAGATGGTGGTTCTTTCCCACGCATTGTCATGATGGCTGCAGGAACTCATGGTTTTGTATTTATACACTCAATGCAATTAGCATTCATTCATCCTATATAGCACCCCACTCCCTTCCCTGACATGTTGTAGGCATTTCATGGAGTTCCATGCTCCCTCCATGAGGTTAGGTGGTAGACCATGAAATTGATTGCTCCATATAAGCATCACTCTGCCAGCACTCTCACAAGTCACCATGGTTTTGGTAGTTTGTGTTTTCAATAGCTTATTCCAGAGTGTGTGCTGTAACCCCAACATGGCTCTGTCTGTGCCCAACAAGTGTTTCTGTATCATGCTGAGTCCTTAGAACTCACAGTCATGTGCCCAAGGAGAGAAGTGATACTTTGGAAATAGTGGATGAGCATACAAATATGTGCATATGAGCTAAACAGAACAACTTTTCTAACTAAAATTTTTTTCTCTTAGACTGTTTTGACTGTAAGATACGGCAAGCATTAAGTCCATTTTAAAGGCTCATCACAGTTTACACTCAACAAGGTTTAGCTTCCTATCTTTATATTCTCCAAATTGTTAATCCATTTAAAAATCTTTGAAATCTTACCTGGGTAAGGTGTTCTTTTGCAGAGTGCCACTCTCATCTGAAGATAAAGGCAAAATATATTTTATAACAACTATACAAGAATGTCACACAGGAAAGTGACAAGACTAGCAAGGGACACCAGACTCACTCAATTGGTAAATCATGAGATTCCTCAATGGAGAAGACTAATGTCTGGTGAGTATGGATTCTATGAGGCCATCGTGGAGACTATTCTATTTTATATATTAATTTCTAGGCAATTTGTTCACTGAAAACTTTTTTCATTTCTCTGTGCATTTCCAGTGATGAAGAAGAGGAAAGAAATTTGTCCAGCATTAATACCAAAAAATAAACCCCTGTGCACAGTGAACATGATACAACACCAGACACTCTCAGGCTGTCAAATTTCATCTTTATACCCCCTTCCCCATCTGGACCTCTGATAGTTCACGGATTTCATTCATTCTGCCATATATTTTAAGGCATTTCAAGTCAAGTTAGTGTACCCAAACATGCCTCAGTGCAAATTCATCCACTGGGATGTAGACAGCCTATCTAGAGTCTCTCCCTTAAAAAGATCAACTTCTGTGAATTCAAGGCCAGCACTGTCTACATAGTGAGTTCCAGGCCAGCTGGTGATACAGGGAGACCCTGTCTAAAAAAGACAAAAAACAAAAACAAAACAAAAACAAAACCCCAAAACAAAACAAAACAATCACCCAGTGGTAATCAGCTGCCAATAGTTCTTTGGCTAAGATTGGGACCTGTTGCCAATTTCTCCAGTTTTATGCTGGATTGTTGTGTGTTTGAGGTTACATGGGTCTTGTGCATGCTGACACCATTGGTATTGGTTCATATGAGCAATGTCTGTAAGCCTGTTTTGTATTAAGAATATGTGGGAGCAAAACCTGTTCTTCTCTGGGACAATTAGTAAGAGTCAGGTGCGGTGAAATTCAGCTATGATCAACAAGAGGTCGGTATCACTGAAGTGATGACTTCTGGGAAGTATTTTCTCAGGGTCAGCACAAAGCAGCTCTGGTCCAAATGGGACCAAGTCTCCATTTCAAGCTGGAATCAGAACTCTGTAATGTGTAAGCCTCCTATGTGTCCCGGTTCTGGCAGGATGAAAGTTGCAGAATCGAAGGAGTCATGGAGAGAATCTGAGCTCGGTGTCTGTGTTGAGGGAGAAAGCAAGCTGAGCACAGGCCAGAGTAGCAAGCCAGTAAGTATCATTTCTCATGGTCTCTGTTTCAGCCCTGCCTCCAGGTTCCTCCCCTGAGTTCCTGTCTGAAGTCCCTCAAAGATAAAACTGTGACATGGAAAGTCGAAGTCATATTAACCCTTTCTTCCCCAAGTTACTTGTGATCAGAATGCTTTATTACAGTGATAGAAACTACAGAACAGTATGAGAGACACAGAGATGACAGAGAGAGAGAGATGACAGTTGTTTACAGTACATTTATCTGAGTAAAAATGCTTAACAGGACAGGCCTTCACATATATGACAGAATGCATGAAATCTGGTGGAGGGTATGAAGGGTGTGGTTGAGAGAGGAGGTCTAAATTTAATTATGATCTACCATATGAAATGCACAAAAACTCAATAAAAATATACCCAATAAATAAATAAGTATAAACTCTTGAGAGTGTTCTTATCATGTTTTAAAAGTCTATACAAACTCAGAGGACCAGGATGGTCAAGCAAATGTTGTGTAATACACAACACTGTCATTTTTCTCCAATCTCTTCATTGTGTGACAAATTGCTCTGGAAATCATACTTTGTAGCATATCAACCATGTGTCAACATATTCTATGTTAACAAAAACAAAAGTAAAACTGTCCTGGAGGTGAAGCTAAGAAGGACGGCACTTGCCAAGCACGCTCACAGGGCCTTGTGTGGAACACCTAGCACTTGAAAGAAAGAGAGAAAAGGAATATATGAGGACTTAGTGGTGCTTCTGGAGGATATTATAATATCTTGGTGAAATATATGGTCACTCTAAAATGGGAGATGATTAAATATAAAGTTACACCCTATGTTAAAATGTCTAAATTGAAGGGCTGGAGAGACTGCTCAGTGGTTAAGAGCACTGACTGCCCTTGCAGAGGATCCGGGTTCGATTTCCAGCACCCACATGGCAGTTATGAATGGTCCTTTACTCCAGTTCCAGGGGAATCCAAAGCCCTCTTCTGACCTCCACGGCTTTGCACGACACGGGTGCACTCAAAAACATGCAGGCAGTACACTCATACACATAAAAGAAAAATAATAAATAAAATAT